ATAGTGTTACTAACATTTTACGTCTTAAAAAAGAGAAGGAAGAATGAAATCTATCTCCCTCCTCAAGCTTAATCACTAATTATAAACCCAGCATGGTAATACTGTCTCAGTACTTTTGCAAGAGCATTAAGTGGAGTGATTCTTCTGTAATACGGGTCTTCTGACCCATATTCAGAGTAGGAAATCTTGTATACTATTCAGTGTAGAGGATTCAGTGTGGAGGGATTTCTGTTCATCATCTTTTCAAATAGCAACCATGATAGCAATCAAATGGTTGCTATGATTTTGCTGAATTTTATGCTTTATATTATAAAATGTATACCCTCAGATAGTTTTAAATTTATATTTTTCATTTCTTTTATGACATTGCAGAAACATCTTCACAGAAGATTTAAATAGACTCTCAGATTTGTTCCCGCTATTGGTTTTGATGAGTGATCTAAACTAGTACTAGACTTTCCCAACCTCTGTTCGATGAAATGTACACCCCTCCCATCCTCAACAACACAACTATGTACAGATCTGAACTCTCACTCTTGCATAACTTCAAACTACGAATTAGCTATTTCCATGAATGAGTTGAATCTTTAAAGTCCTGTGCACTAAAATCCTCTGACAGATATGCCTAGTTTCTCCTTTGAATGGCTATAATCTAACTCTGCATATGGAAATATTTCTTAGAAATGTGTGCTGCTGCTTCCCTCTAGCACTCTCTGGGGTGTGAGAGCATCACACAAGGGTGATATGTATTATATGTGTACAGTTCAATTTGATTTTATGAAACAGGAAAGCACAAATTCTCTCTGAAACAATTTCTTTGACTGGTTCATTGTAGAGAAGAAACTTGTTACCACGCCAAAGACAAAACTGCTGCTGGGTTTGGTTTTGAATTTTACAAAATGAATAAGTGAAAAATATATACACATTCATTTCAGACTCAAGGTTATGAATAATTAAACGAATATATAATTGCATCCAGTTTTACCCTCAAGCTTAACCAGCAAAGACATCTTTGGTTCACGCAAAAAGGATACTTCATATTTTTTTTGAAAATTATGAGTAAACTACCAAACATCACTCAATTTATATGCTTGTAAGCAAGAATAGCAATCTGTCTATAAAATCATACAGTAGTGAGTGAAGCAGCATGCAAGAGTTTTGTTTAAGGTCTTATGCCTTCTGAAATTTGAACTTACATAAGCGTTTTCTTAGCATTATCTCAAATGTCTTAGTCTTCATCATCTTTCGTCTTACCTCTGGTGCAAGGTTCGGTTGGGTTTGTGGAGTGGACCTAGTGAACATCACTGAGAGAAAAATGTGGATGTATCTAGAAACTGCATTGTTATGTTCAGAACAAATCCTCCAGAAATGCTTTATTAACAGAACAATAAGTGAGTCTTCCTATTACAAATAAAAAGGTTACATTCAATTCCAAGATCTTGGTGAGGAACTAGTGCCACCCTGTACAGTTGAGCAGATTGTATCCTGCACACAGCAGCAACTGAGGGAGTACTCCATTTATCAAGCCACATGCTCTGGAGCAAGGCTCTATCTGCCCAGGAGGGAGGGGTATCTTTTGGAAATTTGCACAAAAGCACCTGTGTGAGAATTAAAAAACGCAATGATCAGCACACCAACCTTGCCCTAAGGAGCTTCATCCAGCCAAAAGAAATTCCCTTGGTTAATTTGCAGAAAAGTATCCAAAGCACTAGTAGCAGCTCTGTGAGAAACTTTCTCATTCTAATAGATACCTTGATTTGGTCATCAGAAAGGCAGAAACCATGACATTCAGGCAAAGACTGTGTGAGGAGATGTTCTTTTAACCATTTACAAAAACAATTTGAAGGAGTACAACATGCTTTGTTAGTACAGAGTAGGGGCATACCCAAATTTCTCCATCTATTGGAAGATGTTGTGAGACTGGTTGGATGAGGGAAGGAAGGACTAGCAATGGGAAAGAAGCAGAAAAAAAGCTACCCAAGATTCTCTGTGCTGAAGAGGAGTTACCACAAGACTCACACTTTCAGGGCAGAGTGAGCCAGGTGGAGAAGGAAAATTAGATAATAAAATATATACCAACACCATAGTTTTCCATGTGGAAAAGCTGCCAACACAAAATAATAATATAATAATAATAATGAACAAAAATAGGAAATTGGGGGGGCGGGTAATTTGATAGAGCTAGCAGATAGAGCTTCCCAGAGAAAAGGCACTCCACCACTCACCCTGAGACACTGTTGTCATTCTGACTTTTAAGAAGGTGGCAAAAGGCCTGTTCTCACCAGTGTGACAACATCACTCTCTGCTAGTATAGGTCAGATGGTGCCTTCTACCCTCCCCTCCAGCCCTCGCATTCATACCTGCAGCCTTTCTTCACTCCCCACCATTCTTGGCACAGACTCAGCACCTCTTCAAGTCTATGCTGGCTGAGTGCTTTTATTTTGATAGATGAAGTGTGACAAAGTATCATGAATGATTGTAACACACATAGTAGAATATATATCCAAATGAGTGTTGTCCTCCTCAAAGGCATTCTCTTAGGAGGACTTATCCTAATAATGCTGTCATTGTGCAGAGCATCTTTCAATCCCTTCTACTGGAATGCAATTATAAAGTAATGATTGATTGCTTTTCCAAGTTGTTCATTATATTGGCTCCAAATAAATCCTTACTGTAGAAACAAATCCCTTTGTAACCTGGCCTGGGACTACTTATTTTTGTTACAGCCGTTTGCAACCACCCACTCTCCCACTGCTTGTGCTCCAGACGTGCTAAACAATGTGGGGTTCCTAGAAGGATCTATGAATTTGTATATGCCATTGCCTCTGCTTAGAAGATCCTTCTTTTGCTACAAAGCTCAAAATCACCTCCTTCAGAAAGACTTTTGTTCCTGCCCCAAACTCCCACCCTCCAAACTATTTAGCTCCCTACTATTTAGCTATACCTTAGAAGTACCAAGGTCACTTCAATCCAACAAATTGTTTATTGTCTTCATTTGCCTCTCTCCTTGACTGGTTTCTGAGCTCTTTGATGGCAGACACTGTGTCTTTTTTACCGTGTCCTCATGGCTCAAAAGCGTTGACAAGAATACTGTTCAGTAAAGATTTATCAACTGAATGGGTACTTGAAAGAAAAAAATGAGATTGCAAAGACGTATGTGCAACTTACATAGTTACATGTATATACAAATCTGAAAGGATATACATAAATGTTTTAATAGTGATTATCTTTTTTTGGCATATCTGTAGTTTTTAATGTCTCAACAATAAGTATGAATAAGTCATGAGATGGGGATTAAAAGACAAATGGTAGAATAGCTTACTCAAAGCAAACACTGATCAAGCTTATTAAATGATAAAGTTACTGAAATGATGAAGGAAGTAAAGATTGCAAAAATCACACAACTGTATATGATTTCAAACGATTTTCTGCCACCCTGTGGAGAATTCTACACACTGCAGAACTGAAATAAAAATTTGAAACTATGAAAAATCTGTAACTGAAGATGAAATTTCATACAGGAGCATAGCCCAAAAAGGTTTGGTTAAAGCTCTGTTGATCAGTTCTGCCTCTCCGCCAGATATTTAACAAAATTACTAGAGTAGGAGGAAAATTATGATACCTAACACTTGTATGTGATTACAATATACCAAACATTGTTCTAATATACATAAGACTTTATCTCACAAAAACCCTGAGGTAGGTATTATTTTTTTCCCCATTTTATAGATGAGGCACAGAGAGTTTAAACATCTACGAACAGTGAGTAAATGTTGCCAAAGCAATGAGAATCCGGACAGCTGCTCCAGAGTGCCACATTTCCAGCCAGGGATTTAAATCTTTGAGCTTTTCGCACCATCACCTCTTCTCACCCAACTTTATCACTTCTATTGTCACTACTGCCATCACCGCCAAGGCCACTTATACCAATCATTTCCTAACAGAATTACTCAGAGTTGACCACCAGGCCTTTGTACAGATTTAGTAGATGAAGCTTCTGAAAGGGATTATTATGTTCTCCAAACTAATCTCATTTCCTTGTTTCCTTGAAGCAAGAGTTGCTACTCAAAGTAAGATCCCCAGACCTGGACCCTTTCCAAAACTGCTACTAGTCCATGGACAGACAAGTACAGAAATTGAGATTCAGAGTTAAGAACCCTTTATGGCAATTTTACAGGTAATCTTATGGCTGTTGACTATTAATAAAATATTTTGACCTAGATTTCGTGTGTTTTTCATTTCATTTTTCTATTTTATCGAGGTGTGGTCCACAACTACTCGGAAATTCTAAAAATAACTCATCGCTCCCCACAGATAGTTTGAGAAGCACTACTGCAGAGTAAAGATGTTCACACTCGAGGATTTTACCAAACTCTTAAGGATTCTTCTGAGGGCTAGCTCCCCAAAATGAGGCCTCGGATATTTTTATCCTCCCTTCACGCATAAAATACATATTATTACTGGCCATTATGTAATGATCAATAAAGACAAACAGAGAGAAAATAAAAATGACACTTTGAGACTCCAGGGCCTCGTCCCAGCGGACAGGAAAGGGGGAGGGAGCGCCTCGAGTCCCAGACACGCGCCAATAAGATTTCCACGCGATGGTGCAGCCCAACTGGAATTTAGGGAAAAGCTGGGAGCGAAGGGGCGGAGGGAACGCCACAGGTTTTAAGCAGACGCCACGCCTCCGCCTCCGCCCACTGCCGGGCCTGGAGAGGGTCGTGGTGTCGTCACATCCGCCGGCGCTGTGCAGTGCGTCCGGGTCAGCTGCTGCTGCTGCCGCTGCCGCTGCCGCCACCGGGTCAGCTGTGCCAGGGGACTAGGCCAGGGTCTCCACCGCTGACCGAGGGGAGAGGGCTCCGCTCGGCGCCGCCTTCTGCGACCTGGCCGTCAGTCCCACGTCGCAGGCCTGGAGGGGCGAAGAGGACGAGGAGGCCAAGGCTTCCTCCGGGGTGAGTCCGGCCTGGGAGGACCCGACACGGTGGTCTGGGCTTCGGAACAGACCTGGGGGCGCACGTCTGAGGGGCGAGTGCTCACGGCCGGCGGGCGAGAGGAAGCCCAGCGGGTAAGGCGGGCGCCTTGGAACCTGCTCGGGAGGCGCTTCCCGGATCCCCGCCCAGCCTAGGACCCCGCCCTTGGCTCGGCTCCTGTTTGCATTTGCCAGAGTTACCCTCCCCCCCAACTCACACTCTTACCCCCTTTCCGTTTGTGGTGGTTGTGCTCGGGATGGAACCTTACTTCTTCTCCGCTCCCCCTTCTTCCACCCCAGTCTGGGTGCGGCAACTGGGCCACGTTGGTTCTGTATTTATGACCAGAGTCCATGCTGGTGCAGAACAAAGAAACTTGGATTTCTAGTGTGCCTCGTATCCTCCGGGAATAGACACGGTAGCAGCATAAGTAATCAGGGCTTTAATAGACCATCCCGAGTAGGTTAAACCAAGTACAGGGTGTGTACATGAAAAGCTGAGTCTCTGCATGGATTAAGAGTTTTCTGCGATCGTAGAAGAAATCCTGTAATTTATAAATGGATGCTTCCTGAAAATTATAACTGAAGTTACCCAGCTAAGTTACTCTGCAGACTAGTTTCTTGATCATCTTGCTCATTTTCTCCTAAGTTCTCCTTAGATGGAATATTTTCCATATTCTCTAAACTCTATTCCTAGTCTTGGTAATCTTCTCTGGTGCAGGCTAATATTGTTGCGTTTAGACAGGAAGTATGACAGATCAACTTCTGCACACAGGGAACTTGAACTAGATTATCATAAGTGTTTTGACATTACAGGACCTTTGAAGCTAAGTGTAACCAAATCTAGCATTACATGCTTATTCTGTATAAAGTTGCCAATGAACTGGAGACAGTGTGCCATATTAGAAACAGTCTGGACTAGATCTGGGAACCAGGATTTGGTGTCATTTGCCCCATACATAAGGTTAATTGGGAATAATAACACCTCACAAAGTTGTTGGTTGGAATATGTGAGATGACGGATGTAAAAGTGGTTAGTAAATGTGAAAAGCACTCTTTGGGAAAGTGGTTCTGTTCATTCCATCGGGAGTAATGCTGATAAAAGGAGCAGTAAGGGAGGAAGACATCTGGGAAAGTATGTAGTGAGATCCATTAAATTAACCTGGACTAACAATGGATTAAAAGATGTCTTGTTAAGCTTACATCCTATAAAGCAGGATACTAGTATGATATCGTGATAGTAATATTTCAAAATTATAATTTTTTATTACAAATAATATTTATAACATTATACAAAGTGTTAGAGATCAGTTATTAGACTTTAATCTTTTTAAATGTCTCAGACTTTTCCAGTATATTCTGCATACTGATAATTTAATAAATACACCTTTTATAGGTGGCATCATTATCTTTTGCTTTATTCTCACTATTTTGAGAGAAGTCATCACCATTCTGGTTTCTTTAAATTTTGGTGTTAACATTTCTGATAGAGCATCTCATTTCATTCTTAAAAATTTACGTGACCCTACACTCAAGGGAACAATGACAAGCAAGCATATAGGATTTTTCCCAGGGATGTTGTTCTTCATAAACATAAAAGCTGTTCATAAAAAAGTGAACATAAACATGTAGAATTAAATCTTTTTGTTTAAATGGGGAAGTGAAAGGCTTGCCTGGTTATTTCCTTCTGCCAGCTGTAATTGATTTCAGCACAGATGGTTGTTACCACACCTATTCCAGCAACAATGTTAAACTACATAATAGTAAAATTGCCATGTAAAATTATAAGTTATAGTCTAGGCATCTAAATATGATCTTAATATTTAATTTTTGCTTATATTGCCAAGCCCAATGGGGAAATCCACTTCTTCATCTTGGTGAGATTTATCACCACACATCCCGTCTGAAGCTGTGTCAGGAAGAAATCCATTATCTCCTTGATTTTTAACCTCACTGAGGTCAGTGACTGTTATAAATTCATCTTTGTGACCTCCACACATAACTAGCATAAGTCAGGATATGCCACCGCTACCACCAGTTTGTTGAGAAATCAGGTTATTCCTGTTGCATTAGGTTATTTTATTTTATTTTTTTTCTTTTTTACTGACCGGTAACGGGATCGCAACCCTCGGTGTTGTGCCCGCGCCGCGCTCAGCCAGTGAGCGGGAACCGGTCACCACATGGGATCCGAACCCTGGAGCTAGGGGCGCACTCTCCAGTGCGCCACCGGGCTGGCCCGCATTAGGTTATTTTAACAAATAGCATCTTGAAGTGTTATTTCCCCATTCTAATTTTAAAAAAAGAAAATATGAACAAAAAAATGGGAAACAACTACAGTTAACTTGTGAGTCAGCAATATCCTGATTTCCTTTCCTTCAAAGTGATTGTGCTTATATTAACTCCTTTCTTGTCTGTTTCCTGTCCTTACAGCTGCTTAATGATAAAGTGCTTCCAAGAACAATACTTCCTCAATTTAAATTGTTTTATTCTACCTAGTGTACTTTCCCCCTAAAATTCAGTGGTCGACCATTTCATTAATTCTGTCTTTATCTCTGTCTCTATCTCTCACCTATGTTCTGATTAACTAGCTTAATTAATTATCTTTATAAACTAACTTTCCATGTCCATATGCTGAGGTATATTAACATCACATGGTTCAATATGATAAAAAACGTAAAAATTGAATAAATAGGTTGAGAGAGCTGAAGGACTTGGGCTGTCCGTGTTTAGAGGAGCTATTTTTAAGTGATAAACTTGTTCAAGTGGGTAAGCAGCTAAAAAGCCTGGTTTGTCTTCTAGAATTTCTCAAGATAAATATTTCCTCTTACAAATAAGGAATAATTCTACAAACAGAAACTTATACTGTATGTATGTAGATTCCCACAGAATATTTTCATTACGTTTTTGTGAGATAAAACATAACAAGAATTTTATTTATCTAGTTTAATAAACAAAATAAGCCTAAAAGGTTGAGCAAAGGCTGGCTATTCTGTGTCATACCTTACAGTTAAATATTTATTCACTTAACTAGTATTTATAGTCCTGTTTTGTGCCAGACACTATGCTAGGTATTGGGAATATATTGGTTGCAACTTCGTCACTGCTTTTATTTTTGAAGTGGTAAATATTTTTCTGAATATATGAGATATTTGAGCAAGATACCCAGAACATCCTGATATTTTTTTCCAGCACCCAGTAAAAAGGTGAGACAATCATGGAAAGCTTTTCTGATTATTGAATTTAGGAAATATATATTTGTTAGGAAATATATATTTGTTCACTTTAGTGTGAGTAACAAAAACTTGAGAAAACTTAACATTGAGAAGTATAGTGAATTAAAAATTTAGAAGAGACTGTCAGTTTTCAGCCTTTAGTGATTGAATGCTTTGGTATCACTTGAACATAATTCTAGCATAATAAGCAGTAAATATTTGAGCTTGTTAGCTATAATTCTGGGCTCTTTTCTACTAGTTCTGTGTTCTAAATAGAAGTTGTTTGGTAAGGTAGGTGTCCCTTTTTGTTTACTTTTTCCTCTACGGATAGGAAGGATTGCTGTCAGAAAGCAATCTATAAAGTGATCATGGAAGATGTGTGTTAATTACTATAAAATGTAGGTTACGTATTAGAAACAGAGAAACTGCTAAATGTCAAGATTGTTGTATTTTGTCTTTCATTAATTTCTTAAAATTGCCTAGCTCAGTGTTTTCCCAGAGAATTGCAAATGCCTTATTCCTATTTATAAATAAACTGACTTTTCCGAACAAATATGTTTGTGAGGAAAAGTCAGCATGTGCCATTTTTTTCTGTGCTGCCAAGCGGATCTTCAAATATCCAAACCTTTTGAGAATGTTTGAAACCTTCCCTTGAGGATATGTAAAAATTCAAACTGGGAGGAGAGTAAGCCTTCCAGTCTTAGAGAAGTTACAAATTTGGTTTACCATGTGAAATCTAACACTTTAGGCAATTTCCATTGTAATTTTTTTGTTATTGTTCTGGAACATAATGCTTTTTCTGTACAACTTTGTGTATCTTTGAGTGTTGTAATGACATAGCAGATAAGGCAGTCATAAAACACAACCACATATGTGTTTTAGACTAGTTGATGTGAATGTGAATGGCTGGCATCATTTGTTTTATTTGATGTTTTATTTATTTATTTTTTGTGTGTGTGTGGCTGGCTGGTACAGAGATGCAAACTCTTGACCTTGGTGTTACAAGGCTGTGCTCCAACCAACTGACCTAACTGGCCAGCTCCTTCACAAGTATTTTTTAAGGTTATATATGAATAATTTTTAAAATCAAGTATTGGTGTAGAAGGACATACTGTGAAAAGCATTAGTCGTTCTCCCCATCCCACCCTCTTTTCTCTTCTACTGGTATCAAACACTTTTAACTTTGTTTTTAGTACCTCTAGCTTCTTAAATATGTGTTACTGCTGTTTTTTTAAATAACTTTAGACATCTGTTGACTTACTCTAATGTAAATGAACTAAACGCTCATTTACACCTCTTGCCTCCGAAGTTGTCACTATTTTTATTGCACTATTAACCAGTTGATCTTCATGACTTCTTAAATACCATACTTAAACCTCTATCTCTTATTCCATCAACTAGAGGGAGTAGCTCTAGACTATTCACTTTGTAAAATGAGGATATTGGCAGTCACACCATCCTGGGAAAAACTGAAACTAAAGTTCATGACATAAACTGAAATATGTAGTTGCATAAACAAAGACCAAGTTCAGTGTCTGAAAACTTAAGCCAAGCTGTATGAGAAAGGCATGGTATAGATATGAAGCATGTCGAAAGGTAGCATAGTCCATTTACTAGACAAGTTGCTGAATAGACTTCTTTGACTCAGGAACTGTGGCATCAAAACTATACAGAAGGAAATACAAATGATAGCACACCACTTGGCTCTGCTGAATTATGAAAGTGTAAATGTGATTTGATAGGATTCAATATCTATAATCAACCTCTATCCAAAGGACAGAAAATTTAATTGTGAATCCATAGTAGAGAATATATTTATTTACTTTTATTTCTTGCTTCCACCTCAGATTTTTTTTTTTTTTTTTTTTTTTTTTTTTTTTTTTTGCATAATCCATAGTACGGAATATATTTTAAATTATGACCTGAGACTCAACATGAATATATGCAACTGAAAATAAGTATTTCCACTGAACAATATCTTTAGTACGAATAGTACGAGTACAGTAGGCCCTCTATCTGCAGATTCTGCATTCATAGATTTGGCCAATCATAGATTCGGCCAACCACAGATTGGAAATATTCAAGGGAAAAAAGTAAAAAATAATAATACAACAATTAAAATATTTTTAAAAAATTTTTAAATACAGTGTAACAACTATTTATATAGCATTTACATTGTACTAGGTATAAATAATCTGGAGATGACTTAAAGTATACAGGAGAATGTGCATGGGTTATATGCAAATACTATACCATTTTATATAAGGTACTTGAGCATCCGTGGATTTTTATATCCATGTGGAGTCCTAGGACCAATCTCCAATGGATACCAAAGGACAACTGTACTTACTTTACTAGAATATATGTACTCTGAATATTTTCTAACTCAATTCTTTTTTTTTTTTTGTCTTTTGTCTTTTGTCTTTTTCCGTGTCCGGCAACGGATTGCAACCCTCAGTGTTGCCCCCGTACCGGACCGGGGACCGGCAACGGGATTGCAACCCTCAGCGTTGCTCCCGCGCCTCGCTCAGCCAGTGAGCGGAACCGGTCTGTATGTGGGATCCGAACCCTCGGGCGAGAGCGCCGCCACGCTTCCCAAGCGGCGCACTTATCCAGTGCGCCACCGGGCCAGCCCCTCAATTCTTTTTTTAAAAAAAAAGTTGCAACCTAATAAATTGATTTCATGACCAAACCACGGAACTAAAGCTCTATGGTCGATAGAGTGGAGGTGTGAACTGAGGTATAAAATTATTACACGTTTTCAGCACGTAAAAAGTAAAGTGGAAATCAAGTTATTATAAAATTTTTCTTTCCTCTTCAAGGACATTGGCTCTCTGGATTATCAGGAGTTGGTAGTTGACATCGAATCCAAGCTGAGGATGGAAGGTGTGGAACTTAAAGAAGAATGGCAAGATGAAGACTTTCCAATGTGAGCAATGCTTTTAAATGAAAACAAATTTAGAATAAAACTTCAAAATTTCTTTATTGAGGTGTCACCTATTAAATGAATATTGGGCTTCTTAAAGAAACCCATTATTACAAGGTGACCATTTGCTACTAGGAAATGAAAGTTGTCTCCAACAATTAGAATAATTCTCTTGCTTTGTAACCAAATATATATGTAATCTTCTATAATCTTTAATTTTTGTTTTGATCATTTAAGTTTGAAAATTTTTACTGTTATAAACAGTGCTTTAATGTGGTATTCTTAAACTAGGGTCTCAGGGGTTCCTTGAAGAAGAGGGTCTTTAGTTGTCTGTAAGAATTTTTAAATTTTGTGGGTTTTTTCCAAGAAAAAGTTTATTAAGTAAACAAGGATTTTCTAGATCATCCGGCCAGCCCTCTTGGCATGTTTGCATTTGTATTTATAATTGTGTTGGCAGCAGGTGGGCAAATGAAAAAAGAGCACAAGCAGACCTTATATTTAAGTGATGCTTTCATGTCACCTGTGCACAGTAAGGTGCCTTAGCAATTGGAATATGGATAGCTGGTGGGAGAACTGAACTATTATAGCACATGATGATGATAGTAATATAGGAATGCTGAACTCAAAAGAATTGTAGCCATCTTTCATATTGTCATTGTGAGTAAATATTTAGTTTTATCACACATTACATTATATTCCTGCATTTCAATTATATTTGTTTTGTAGTTTAAAATTACCTAAGGTTTATAGTTGTATAAGAGCTGTTGCATAAGGAATTGCTTTTATGTTACTTATTTACATATATGTCAACTCTGACAGTCTGAGAACTTTTTTCTTTAAAAGTGGTTTGTAAATTAATAAAGCTTAAGAAACATTGCTTTATTCCATTTTACATATAATTGTTTCTGTAAAATATATTTTAACTAGATCTTTGAACTTCAAAAAAAAAATTTTTTTTTAATTTCTGGGTTAAAAAGTGTGTCTGTCTTTTCTAGACCTTTACCGGAAGATGATAGTATTGAAGCAGATATACTAGCTGTAATGGAACCAAAGAGCCAGCCTGGTAAGAATTTGACACTTTTACTTCCAATAAAGTGAGGGACTTTGTCTTATTTTTTAGCACATTTCTTTATCCAAAACAAAAAACAAAAAGTTTTGAGCTTTCATCCATCATAGGGAGCCAAAGGATAAGTTAAACATTGAGGAAGGCACTTTTAGAATGCTTGACAAATTTTAACTTTCCAAAAACATACCCTTGGCTTTTGGAAATTTTTACAGTAAAGGGATAGGAGGAGATCATTTTTTAGTATAGTAAGAGGTGACTATAAGGTCTGCCTCTATTATTTAAAAAGACATTGATACCTCAGTGATCTGTTGCCAGTAATGTAGAAGCAATTTTTGAATCCAAACTTTGTAAATTAGTGCTTTGGAATTATGTTTAATTTATGCCATTTTTTAAAGAATAAAGAGGTTAAAATATTTCTCTTAGTCATCTCAAGCATCTAAGCATCCCTCTAATATGTCTTTTTCTTGGTTTTCTTATTCCAGACACACTAGAAGTTAATGGAAGTAAAGTGAGAAAGAAACTAATGGCTCCGGATATTAGCCTCACACTGGATCCTAGTGATGGCTCTGTATTGTCAGATGATTTGGATGAAAGTGGGGAAATTGACTTAGATGGCTTAGACACACCATCAGAGAACAGTAATGAATTTGAGTGGGAAGGTAAGTGTTTCATTGGTTTTTATCTGATCTTTATTAATGAATGTTGGTCTTTATATACATACATGTTTTTACAATAGTATTGTCATGAGGAAAATGATCATAATCGGAAAACCTTAAAACTTGATCATGTGAATTTGCCAACTACCCTGATTTGATCACTACACATCATATACATGTATTGAATTGTGACTGTACCCCATAAATATGTACAGTCAATACACTTCAATTAAACTTAAAAAATTATAAAAGGGCAACTAGACCAGTGGAGAGTCAAAGAAGAGAAAATCAACAGGAGACAGCAATATACTTCAAGTGAGAATAATTTGAATATCAAGTTAAAAGAGGTCTTATGAATTAAATGTTAAGTTTTGATATATTTTTGCAAAACTTAGACTTTTTAAGGTACTGCTGAAAAGTCAATCACAAAACAAAGGATGTCTCAATGTGCTATTATACAATTTTGTCAACATAATTAAGCCAAAAAGTCAACCCTTCTTTTATTGTATATTTATTCTAAGACTTAGTGCATAGTTGCAATTATAATCTAAATATTTTTAACTAAAAGGTAAAAATAATCTTAGTTTCATGAAAAACAAACCAAAAAACTTGATTATGAAACTGACTAAAATCAATATATTAAGGGTTTTTGTTTGAAATATGTTATTTCTAAAGTTTATATTTGTTACTAACATGTGAAATTCTGCTAACACTTGAATTTTCTCATGGTTTTCACAACCGTTTATAGTAAGGTTACACAGGTAGCTTCTTTTTTCCTTATTTGCCCAATGCTGTAAAGTCTTATTTTTTCATACTTGCTCCAAACATACTGCTTGATAATTATGGCATGCTCTTTTTCAGTTAATCAGCTATTGAAGAGACATATAATTTAGAGAATGTACTAAAAACAGTTAAGCGTTTACAGAGAGGGAGTTTTGAAGGGAGGTTTTGGGGGTGATTTTTTAAATAGGTTTGCCTGGTAGTGCTCCACTTTGTGAAATGACCAACTTGAATTAATGTATATACTCTTAGCAAACCTTGTATTCCTTGTCATTAATTATCTGGAATTCAAAGGAATCGATATGTGTTTTCCTTTGCGTGCTTTCTTTAACTAGATAATTGCTGTCTATAGTATCTTTATATAGTTAATAATTTTTATATATATTTTTTTCCATCTTTAAAATGATGTGTACTTCAAAGCAGTGTTTAGCATTAGATATTTTATCTTCAGTAAACAGTGCTATGCCTTATCTTTTGTTTCTTTTTTCTTCCCTGTTTTACTGGTTCAATAAGCAGTCCAATAATAAGCAATATTTTATAAAGATACTGAAATAGTTTTCTGCCTGTGTGTTTTGTCTCTCTCTTTAATGCTGCTGTAGTCATTTCCTGGAAGGATATTTTCCGTTAACAGCTTTGTCTTGGAAAAAACAACTAACATGCAGTAGGTTCCCCCCTCCCCCATCTTTTGGTAAGGACTATGATACTAAAATTTTGAGAATCATTACCTCATTAAAAATCAGCTAAACTGCAGTCTTGAAACATAAATTACACCTAATCATTGGTGCTTATGCTTTGGCCAGTGTTAATTTAAATAGACTTTTGCATGTACACTTCAGAATATTATAAATACATTTCTGCTTCATAAAACTAATCAAATTAGAAATGATCATTGAGTAGTTAACCACTTTCTATCTGGTATTGCAATGTTTGAGAATTCATTTATGTGCTCAGAAAAACAAAGCAGTTGGCTCCCAGGTAGTTACTTGAAGTAACCCGTAGGTCGTAACTGCAAGGACAACATTGTTATAAGTAGAATCTGGAAAGGCATTGCAGAGCCAATGTACTAAGATTTTGATGGCTATATGAATTTATCTTTGCTGAACTTGTGGATATACATTGCACTGTGATTAGGTGCTTTGCTGAATTAGTCAATAAAAAAAAAACTTAAAGAACCGTGATTTCCTAAGACATAAGCTGGCCTCATATTAAGATCAAGCCTTTCCTCTACCATGGAAGAGATTTAAAATTCTGCAGATGGTATAATGAAAATTCTCTGAACAATCTAGATAGTAAAGTGGTTAACATATAATTTGATTTTTATTGCATAAGTAATAATTTATGATTCAAAAACCTTTTATTTTGACAGATGATCTTCCAAAACCCAAAACTACTGAGGTAATTAGGAAAGGCTCAATTACTGAATACACAGCAGCAGAGGAAAAAGAAGATGGACGGCGCTGGCGGATGTTCCGGATTGGAGAACAGGACCACAGGGTTGATATGAAGGCAATTGAACCCTATAAAAAAGTTATCAGCCACGGAGGTAAGAGTTACTAAAGATTATTTAGATTTTTTACTGAGGTGTCAGAAATCTAAATGTTTTTAAAATCTACCTAGAGATATTATATAATTTTGAAAGAATAATAAACATTTTTCATATCATTTTAGGAATATAACAGGTTTGAAGTAAAAGGATAAAACCAACATTTAAAAATCATTAGTATATGCATTCAGTAAGTTCAAAAAGTACAGAAGAGTATGTAGTAAAAACTGTCTCCCTCCTACCCCTATCCCTAGACCACCCAAAACTGGGACTTTACTTTCTCCCCTTCTTAGTCATTTATAATTTATATATACTGAAATGTTCTGATCTTAAGTGTACAGTTTGATGGGTTTTGACAAATGTCCATATGACCCTATATACCTATATGTATAACCCACATTCTTAAACATGGAACATTTTCATTGCCACCAGAAAATTCTGTAGTACCCTTTCACAATGAATACGCCCTCTCCAGTAACCACTATTCTAATGTCTACCTCCCACAATTAGTTTTGCCTGTTATAGAATATTATGTAACTAGAATCTTACAGTATGCTCTCTTTTGTCTACTACTTTTGTTCAGCATAATGTTTTTGAGATTAATCCATGTTGTTACATATACCCATAGTTCATTCCTCTTTATTGCTGAGTAGTATTCCACTGCATGGATAAACCACAGTTTCCTTATTCATTCTCCTTTTGGTGGTTATGTCAGTTGTTTCCAGTTTGGGATATTATGAATAAAACTGCTATGAACTTTGTTATACAAGTCTTTTTGTGGATATAAATAAAATTGGACTTTTAAAACTATAACTCTTAATTTACCTTAAAACCCTGAGCAAATCATTTAGCTTTAGTAGAGAACAACTTCATTCCACATTTTTATGGAGCACCCAATTTGCATATCTGTGGGGTATACACAAATTTCCCTTAAGAAATTTACAAGTCAAATAGGAAATGCTATGAAAGAAGAAGTCATAGCTCCTATCAGTCTGACTGTACATATGTAGTAGTTTACCTAGGTACTGTGTAAATAGTGCCAGAATGTTACTAAGTCAGAATTCAACTCCCTCTGTAGAGGGTGTCATTTTAAATCTCCTAGTATAGGACAGAGGGGCACATAGGTCAAGCAGATTAATTTTTTTCACATGGAGTCATTTCTACTTAATTTACTCTCTGCCGAATGCACTTCCCTGCTTATTTCTACAGTCTTCATTCATGTGAAAGGAAATCACTTGAATACTTGTAGTTACATTCTTCTGCCTAATTTAATTTTATTCAGATGAAGAAAACAGGGTAATCTGAATCAGGAAGTCCACAGACATATGTTAATTCAGCTAGTTCATAGGAATCAAGTTGTGAGACTTGCATTATGATTTAAACCTAATAGCTCTCAGACATAGCACTTTATTTGGGAGAGCAGGTGGATAATTAGTGTCATCTTCTCCTATTGAATTATCATAGTATATTTTATAACTGAGGGATTAAGAAAGGTAGTGAAGATGCTAATGTTTTTGAAATGTTCAAGTCTTTTCAGCGCAAGTTTGTAAACAATAGAAGGTTAAAGCAAAAATATTTTTTACTGGATACAGCTTAATATCTAGAGATTGCAATTGAAACACACATTATAGCACTGTTTTTTTTTCACTGAGAATTATATCAGAGATGTAATCTTAGTTTTAATATCCTAAATTCTACAAAATGCTAGGCATTGTTGAATGTAAAACTGTCTTTTAAAAAGCACAAACTAACTGTAAGCACCAGAACATTTTATTTCAGATGTTGTGTCTGCTTGGATTATATCACTTTATTTACTTGCTAAACTAAGTTCTACTTTATTCACTGTATTCTGCTTGCCAAGATAAGGCTGGCTTTTTAATCATTCTAGTTTAAGTGGTTGTCTTGGTTTTTTATGCCTGCTCTTTTTCAAATTTTATTGTTCTCTTTTTGGGAAGAGAATATTTAAAGATCTATATAACAATGTATAAGGTTCTAGAAACATACTTTTGATCCAGAAATTTGTGGAAGGTGTAAACCACTATAATCTATTAACCATACAGATGTCCTCTAAAAAAAAAACTTCAGGGTAAAATTGTACTGGTGAATTTTATCTTTGGTTTCTTTTTTAGGATATTATGGGGATGGATTAAATGCCATTGTTGTATTTGCTGTCTGTTTTATGCCTGAAAGTGGTCAACCTAACTATAGATACCTGATGGACAATCTCTTTAAGTAAGCATATCTTAACAAAAATGTTTGAACAGAATTCTGAAATATTTAGATCTCTAGTTTAAGGAAGTGAACTTTTTTTTTTTTTAATTCTTTTGGCAGCCAGCCAGTTATCAACATCACCTCTAACCAACTGAGCTAACTGGCCAGCCCCCAAAGGAAGTGAACTTTAGCTGTGTAAAACTTATAAATAGATATCCAGGTTTTGATTCTTTAAGTCCTATTTGACATTATGAAACTATAGTTTTCCAAGTCTACAGAAAAATTGTCATTTTAAAACTGGAAAATAAATCTCAGATTATGTTCCAACTTATTTATTTTACATTTGATGACACATTAAGTGTAAAGTAGTAACTTTTATCTCAAAATTATATGGCTAAAATTATATTTGCCCCAAGAAGCCCAATGTAGCTGAGCTGACTCAGTTCTGTTTCCACAGTGATTCTATTTCTCAGGTTAGTGCAGTTTTAAAAAACTTTATTGTGGAAAGTTTCATGCATACACAAATGTAAAGAGAGGTGTATCTAATCTCCATTTACCAGTCACCACTTCAACAATTATCAATTTATACTTTATTTCCACTTTTCCCCTTACTGTGTAATTTTGAAGCAAATCCCTTACATTATGCCATTTCATCTGTAAACATTTCAATATGTATCTCTAAAAAATAACTCTTTTTAAAATAATAATACCAGCTAATACAGTTTTAAAATTTTGATTGTGTTTGCTGTCGTTGTGGGGGAGAAAAGAGAATTGTATAATTTAGAGAACTTAGTTCAGTTCTGCACAGTGATATTTAAGACTTAAATTTAATTTGCTCTTTTACAGGTATGTTATTGGCACTTTGGAGCTGTTAGTAGCAGAAAATTACATGATAGTTTATTTAAATGGTGCAACAACTCGAAGAAAAATGCCCAGTGTGGGATGGCTCAGGAAATGCTACCAGCAAATTGATAGAAGGTAATGTAAATACAAATTGAAAGCCAGTCTAAATAATTTTTATCATGGCTTTAGTCTATTAAATTTTATTTTCTGTTGCCAAGACACCATGTATCCATATCTTAAATTACATTTGTTAATTTCATAACAGGTTTCTGTTTTCTAAATACAGTATTTTAGAATGTCATGAAGGAAATCAATTTGATCTGGTTTATAAAGCATAACTTTAATTCTTCAAAACAAACTTACAAAACATCTTTTTGTTTCTCCTTATTTATACCACACTGAACACTTTTCTACAATTTACATCTTGGGAAAGGATAGAGAACATAGTACATTTCCTATTTTATTACATTCTGAGTTTTGCCTAATTTATATTGCCTATCATGTTTTATGTTTCTTAAAGATGCTTATTTAGTTGTAGTCTTTCTTTGGGACAAGTTCTAGATGTATATTCTCTTGGGAGTTAGTTGTCAATACTTAATGGAAGGAACTTGATGGAAGGAACGTCAGTCTTCCAAATAGTTTGATTTGGCCATAGCTAATTCAGACTAGTTAAATCAACTCAGACCCATTAATAGATTTCTCATTATATACATAAACTTGACATTTGCTAGCCCTTGTAGTTAAAAAATATATGTGTATGTTCTCAATGGTCACCTTATTTATGTGTGAAATAGGTATAATAATATAACAGTTTTTATTTGGTCATTTAAAAAGAAGAGGTCTAGGACAAAGCCTTTAATTTTTAAGCAAAATTTTAAACTTCTTAGGAGTTAGACTTGATTTATGCTGTTTGTTGCTGTGGTCATCTCCACTCCCACCTCTCTGCCTACATAGTGCCTTTCATCATGTTGAAGAAATTAGTACCAGTTTCTCCCCACTTGAAAATGAAAATACTTTACTTTTATATTCAGTTTTGGCCTCTTTCCCTGGTTAACAGAGTCCTGAAGACAAGTGAATGTATGCTAGGAGACATTTAATAACAGGCTATACTATGGACATAAATTTGGCCACATGAAGTAAAGTTCATTTCATAGCAGTAGGAGGGACCATCCAGAATTCAAGAATGCATTTTCTTGTCTTCAGGAGTGTCACACCTAAATGAGAACTCTTGGGTGAGATTTTTCAATTATTATTTTGTATAAACTTGCATATACTTATTGATGTTTTAACTATTAGCATTAGAATTTATAGAGATTTAAAATTTTTCTTTCTTTTTTTGTTTTTTCTTTTTTAACTCCAGGTTACGGAAAAACCTAAAATCTCTAATCATTGTACATCCTTCTTGGTTTATCAGAACACTTCTGGCTGTTACAAGACCATTTATTAGGTAATTTTCAAGAGCTATTGACCTTAAAAAATAAAAATTCCTTGTATAAATTGTTTGTTAGTTCAGCTGGTCAGAAATATTGAGGTAATTATTTTTATTTTCTTCCATAGCTCGAAATTCAGCCAAAAAATTAGATACGTCTTTAATTTGGCAGAACTAGCAGAACTTGTCCCCATGGAATATGTTGGCATACCAGAATGCATAAAACAGTATGTTTTGTTTATTTCTTTAATTATATTGTATCTTTATATTTTTTTGTTAAAGAGGTAATATTTTTCAATACTTATTTTTTTCTTATAGATATTTTGTAACTGCTTTTTTTATTTTTATAACAAAATAAAAGAGAAAAAAGCCATTTTCCCACACCTTCTCCATAAGTCACCATTTTCTTCAGACTGTCAGCTGAAGAACGAGGAAAAATGATTTCTGGTTTTGATTCATTTTATATTTTTAAAGACTTGTTAAAATCTAAGATTTGATTTCCTGATTGGTCAGTACTAAAAAACATCATTCTCCAAACTTGAACATGTTATTCTTCAAATTTGAGAAAACTCATTATGGCATCAAATAATCGTATTTCTAGATAAATAAAATATTACTTAAAGCAGCCTAACCTTAATATTTTCCAGTGACTGGAATTTGTTCTGTTTACCAAATTCACTTAATTCCATCTAGCTTTTGAAAGGACTTGGTAGAAGGCTGTTAACATAAATATTTGAGCATCACAATGCTATTATGTAGAAAAGTTTCTTTATTCTGTTAATCTGAGGTTTTAATCTGTTTAATGTGTCAAAGCCAGATTTATTAAGTTAATTTTTACTTTATACATCATGTATTAAGTATTCTTGGTTTTGCCTGCAAACTTATAACTTTATTTTTAGTGCCTCTTTTCAAGTTTTTGTTCATCTTCATAACATGTATATTTACTGAAATAACTCTTCCCTACCAAGGTATGAAGAAGAAAAGTTAAAAAAGAAACAAAAAAGGTATATGCACACCTTGACTGGGTTGCATCTAGACTAGTCCATTTGCATTGCACAGACTAACTCTTCCTAATTGATTGGTTAGCTTCTAGACAAAGATAATTGCATTTGTAAATATAAGTATACCCCAGCATCCAAGTACAGGGTGAATCCAAAGTTCCTGATGCTGAATATGACTTGGATTCACCCTGTTTTAACACCATATATAATGCCAGTTAAGAGTTAAAGGCCACAGTCCTTCCTCTTTCCATTTTGGTCTAAATACTGATGGTAAAACCAGAGAAATTACTAATACTATTGAAGCATCAAATACTTTTAAGACTTTAGCTGTTTTACCATTTCCTTTAAATCTCTAACTTTGGCTTTTGAAATACTTATGCAGACTTTTTTAAGGAATTAATTTATTTTCCTGGGGTTGATGATTATATTTGCAATGCATATATTCTTTGGCTAACCAACATTGATTTCCTTGTACGCTTAAATTAAATGGCCTGCTAACCAGTCAAATTATACATGTGATAAAATACCTAAAAGTTCAATATCCATTTAACAGTTAAACACTCCGCTTTCCCTTTTAAATTTAATTTTGAACACTTCTGCTTTGAGCATAACAAACTATTACCTATTAATATCTTGACATAGACGATGAAAGGCAAGGATATAAAATACTTTATTTTATATAGTAATCTAGAAAAATGTAGGATTTGGATCTAATTTGTCGATAGATTTTTTAAAATACTGACAAGTTAGCAAAACATAGTTTAATACAGTCTTCCTTTTGTAACACTTATGGTGAGATATGTAGTTATCTTTTTGACCATTCTAAGAAACCAACTGTATGTAACTGGAACATTCTTAACACATTTTGCTTCTGTTGATGAATGAGAATTCAGTTGGCCACATGACCAGAATCATAGCTTTACACTTCTATATAACACTGTATAGTTTAATCATCACTTTAACATAGAGATGTAGACAATGATTTCAGATTATACTGATTTCTCATTCCTTTCTAGGCATCGTTGTGCATTTGCCAGATAGGTGGCTGAAATTAAAAATATAATCTGTAATTATAGAATATTTTGAAGCCACCTGCTTCAAAAGCCACCTGCTTTCCATTTCAAAATCAATTGCCTTTGTGATGAAATATACTGTATTATTCCTTTTTAGAAAGTTCTTAGTATTTAGTCAACTGTCAAGTAATTTAAGCATCAGGGAAAAAAATGGAACTCGTACTTTTTATTTATAAGTATTGCTTGAAACCCATCACTACTATTTTATCTTTTTAATTTTTTTTTAACTTTTGTCTACGCTCTTTTTTGCATTTATAATGCACTTACTGGCCTATATTTTTATGTTACAAAATTGACTTGACTTTTTCTTAATGGATTTTTGTACAAGGGACTGTTCACTGCTGTATTGGTTTGCAGATCTCTTGAATTTAGCTCTTTAATTGCTAACCATATCATAATCATTTTATATTTTATATTGCTAAATAGCAGAGAACCACACTTTATATAAAGCATTTTTTGCATTTGTTTATTGAATGATGCATCTTCTTCAGTAAAATATTTATAAGCATAGATGGTAAAGGAAAAGAAATAATATATATTTTTATGTTTTTGAGCAATATTTTTTAATGTGTACCTGTCTTGTGGAAGAATGTGCAGGTAACTGAGACCATGATTTTGTAAAGTGCATGTTAGAATTTTTGTTTTTGTAAATGGTTAAATACATTTCCTGGGTAACTTAGAAAATTAAGTTGCTCATAAAGCGAGGAACAGTTACGTTAAACTGATTCTCATGAATACCCAAAGATCATGTACATAATCTAAGTAGATTAGTACTATCCCAAGTTTTTTCCTCTCTTTAACATTTATTGTTCCTTAATTCAGAAGCACAAATGGAAGTGCATTGCACAGTTTTTCCTTTTTAAACTTAAAGACAAGTCAAAAAGCCATTTTTAGAACTAGAGAATTTAAAAGGCGAGGAATTAGGGTTTGTATATATATATATGGATGGATCATTTTATCTTCTGGCCCGAAGTCAGAACTTTATAAAAATCTTGGATTTGTTCACTAATGTGAAATAAGCTGTGTGTCCAGGGTATTGGTCCCCTGAATGTGTGAGTGCTATGTATTATTACAGAGAATGTGATGAGTTATTCACTGTCATGACTTTTTCTGTAAAAAACAGGCTGCTTTTTAAACCGCTCTCACTGTGGGCACTTTACCAAAATACTTCCATAGTAGTTTGACCTAGTCCAATATGATGTGTTTTCAAGTTTCTGTTGAGTCCTGTTTGACAATATTGTAAATTAGGTTAATTTTTGTAAGTCTTACAGCATCATTATATAGTGCTGTTTTGGATGACACATTTGATGTAAGTATATAAACTTGTTTCATTTGGTCAGTTTCTTTACACTGAAATAAATTGTACTTAAGCCTCCAAACAGAGCTTAATTATCCACAAAATCATTCTAAAACAGCAGATTATAATGTGTCATACTTGATTGACTCATATACATTTACTAAACTTAATACCCTTCAGATTTGAAGTTCACATTATTCTCCAGCCCTTCCTGTAAGGTATTTTACAAAAGAGTAGTCTAGAGTAGCAAAATTGAAGTGGATGTGAACTTTTAAGATGTATTCTATCCTAGATTGAACATACCCATGGCGTTTACCATTGCTATTTTTTACTGTAAAGTTTCTGTTACAAAAGGGAATTTTCCTTTACTTTTTGTCCTTCTCAGTCATAAATTTGGTGTACTAACGTAAATACATTAGAGGAGACGCTGGAGAATTATCAGAATGAGACATTCCTCAGCAGCCTCCTGACATTTAACTTGGATCCAGCAGTTTTAGGCAGATCCTGAACTAATATCATTATAGTGAACTTAGCCAAAAGCATTATTACTTGCTCACATCTTAGAAACACTGTGTTAAAGATGCAAACTAACAATAACAACTTAGGCATTCCTTCTGAATTTACTATATAGGGATTATGAATAAAAGATCATGTTGAATTTAATTGTGATTAGATCCTCTATTTGTAGAATATTTTAAGTAGTCTTTTATCTGTATGTCTTTATTTTGCTCAAAATGGGCTGAGCTTTTTAATAGGTGGTTTTTCCATCACATTAAGTTCTCGGTTCTTTGGTTTGAAAAATACAAAGAATGATTTCAACTCTTTGTTGACTTTTGCTTTCGCAGTCATTATTCCTAACTATAATTACAACTTGTTGCAAAAGTGATGTTTTTCTAAAATTTTTTTTAAATAGAAGTAGCCTATATTCTGTTAGAACATTAAAATTCAGAGGAAACAGTGATAACACTCGGGATATAACAAAAGGGATATACTGTAATCACTAGATTAAATGGATACCTGCTTTAACTTACACTTTAATGAAATCTGGTATAGAGACATGCCCACACTAAATGTTTCATAACTACAAGACTTAAGATCATAACTAGTAGGTTAGATGAAAAGCATGTAGGTTTGTTATTTGTAATTTATAGCTATGTAACATTTTCCCATATTACTCAATTTTAATTTTTCATTATTTTTTGAGGTAGAAGTACATAAAATTGTATTATTTTGTCTTTCTGTTCAAGTCATGGATCTAACTTAGCTGGTTTAATTTGATGCTTCTGTCATTATTTTTTGTTACACAAAAGTTTTTGTTACATTTTGAGTACCCCTTTTTAAAAGTCAAAAGTTTGGGGCCGGCCCGGTGGCGCACTGGATAGTGCGCCGCTTGAGAAGCGCGGCGGCGCTCCC